CTGTTATTGTTGGGATGGTAATTTTTTTTTTTTTTAGTTACTGCTTCGAGAAAAGGAGCCGAACAATTGGTAATAAGTCGTTGTCGTTGCCAGTCGCCTGCCCGACGCGTGTATACCGTGTGTAAGCGTATACCCATTAATGACAGGGTGGACTTTGAACTTTGCGGGGGTCGCACGGCGCGTCGAATTTTAATGGGCTTTGAGAAAAAAAAAAAAAAAAAAGTTGGGGATGATTCATGGCCGATGTCTCGAGTAAATGACAGTCCTTCAAACGCACGGCGAATGCTAATCGAGAGCGCGTGTATCGTTATTGTTGGTGCTTTGATGAGTCGAGAGAGCCGGTTGCCACGCCCGAACGAGAGATTAATGAATCGAGACAATTAGCTCTACATTCAATCAATAATCAGTATAATATGTTTAATTAATTTTCAATTCGAGTTATGCATAGTCCAAATGGTAACAATCACAGCTTAGTTCACAAAGTCTTGATAACTCGAATTCAAATGATTATTCATTCAGCGACACGTTTTTCCCTTTGATTTTTTCAACAAAGTTCAATCTAAAATGTACGAAGGAGCTACAGAAAAAAAGACCATTTATTTGAGATCAGCAATTTAAAGTTAAAAATTGAAGCTACCACATTCGTCTTGAATATTCCACATTACCAAGTGAACGGTTAAATTATAAAAATAACATTGGAAACATTTCATCGTCCACAGACTTTATTTAACTGTTTCGCGAAGTATATAATTTGTAGTTCTAGCACAATAATTTTTATGATTTTTCCTCACTCGGCGTGTATTCATAAATTTTCACCGTGGCATAATAAAAGCCATCGGCCCAAAAAAGCGGCACAAAACCCAATTAATTTCATTCATCGCGCAGCAAAAGACGCTCCGGATGAAAAAAAAAAAAAAGAAAAGAAAGGAAGTAGGAATAAAATAAAAAAAAAATTCCCCGTGACATCCAAAGAGCTCCGTACACATCGCCGGGCAGGAAGATAAGCTCGAGAGCGGGGAGGTAACGACGCGTGCCGGAGCAAGGGGGGGGGGCAGGCGGGTGGCAAATTGAATAACAAAGCTCGACCCTCGTTGGAATCGACGTTAACCCACCAGCCCCTCTCACCCGCGACCAACGACGACGACGACGACGATAGCAAAGCTGCTTTTTCACCCCTCACGTTTTGCATAACGATCTTATTTCGCGACTCCCGTGGCATATTGATCCGGTTTGGAGAGAGAAAATTGTTTATTGCCCACCGCACTGGGGAGTTGGTGCAGTGACATGTGCTGGTGTATAATACATACATATATACATACGTCTGTATATTAGGGACGCGTGCCCTACCGTCGTTCTCCGGAGTAACTGTTCGAGTGTATACTCTTACGGCCGAAGCTCGTTTTTTCTTATCACCCCCGACATTTCGCGGTTATGGCTTTTTAAGCACGTGCAATCAGAGCCTCGGAAAAACTACTTGGTACGATAACGTTCAAGATAATCTCCGCGAATGATGTAAAAATAATGTTCTTTTCTTCGAGGAGACTTGGGCGCTATGTTAGATGTACTTGGAAGAAAAAGGGGCACTACTGGTATGGTAATTGTATCGATCGATCGCTGCTGATCGGCAAGAAATCGGTATGGACGTAGAAAAGCCGCGTGACGGAGAAAGGCCTCCGTTTTTTTTTTTTTTACTCGACGTAAAGTGAACGCGTGATTGACAGTTCTGACGGCTACCACGGCTCGAAAGAATAAACGGAGCCGCCACTAGAGAGATTCCTGGCCCCGAATGCCCAATGATCACTAGCGCCGCGTGTCAGTGCGTATCAAAGAATCGGGCGATACCGCGTGCACGGGGAGATAGAGAGACGAGTCACTGCCCCTAATAATCCCCTGCTCCGCGACTTGTCTCTTCTTCGCTTTGGTATACATGTGTGTGTATCTCGAACCTGCTCCCCCCCCCCTCCCCCGGAGATGTGTGCCAAAGATGAGTCGACAATTTTCGGCTTACGGACTCAATTTGCCTCTAATAAGTCCCCGTCAGTTTTCTTTCTCCATATCCCTCACGACGAGCGTCAAATTGCAATTTATCGCGCGCACTCGAGCTTATATTCCTCTTTCAGCACCCCCGGTGACACCCCCTTTTCAAGGATAATTACTCGCGCGTATAATTATACATTGCGAGGATGGGTGGTTTGTTTAATTATTAATTATTATTTTCTTAAATCTGTATGTGTCTATTGGATAGCGGCATTCGGCACAAAGAGAAGCGATAAGTAATATCGTCGGGCGTAAGTTATCTGAAAATAAAAATATGAGCAAATATAATGGATTACAATGATCAATGTTGGTGAAAAGTTTAATAAAATTTTCTGTGCATTATTTTCATGGTGGTTAGACAATGGGTGTAAGCAGTTTTGTTTGTTTTGCTGGTGCAGCTTTGTTTCAAGGAAATACACATATTATGTTCGTGTGCTTGAGGACACAAGAAGACAGTGGTGCAGCTTATCAGAAGCAAAAGTTGATAGGTGGTGCAAAAAGTGAGAGTAACAGCTGTCTCAGGTCTTGATGTTTATTAAAGAAATTTTAAACAATCCGTTTATAAACTGATGGATAAAAAAAAAAAGTACGAACCACGTCTCGAGAGTCAACGAGCGTCTCCCAACCCCGTGAGTAACGTCCCCTTTTCCCGTACACGCGTGATGCTCCGGCCGATTTTTCGCGACTAGAGATCTCGGCTCCGTACATATAGGTATAGAAAACCATCCGACGTTATGACGGAACATTTCACGGCTCGGCAGAGGAAGCGGCGTCTAACGGCCCGTGCGACCGACTCTCCCCTCTTTCATCCTGCAAACCCTCCCCAAAGCCAGCGATGTCGATCTTTTTTCACTTGGTCCTTTATTGCCCGGCGAATTGAAATTTGTCTCTCGCGCTTATGCGCTCCCGACGTTTCCTGTCGACGTTGATTTTATTTTGCTCTTTTTTTTTTCTCTTCTTCCTTTCCCTTGCGCGTGTGTTTACATACACGTATATTATATGTATGGGTATACGAATTTTCATGTGCACTAGGAGGGAAATTATGCGTGATATTAAGTTTGCAGGCGCAGCAGTCCCCCTTTTATTACCAAGAAATATGTACAACGTATACCTATGCGTATCAAAGAAAAATATAGCAATCGAGCCCATGACTTGTTTTTGCAATTTATATACGTGAGTGTTACTATAGAGACCTAAACGAAACAAGAGAAAAATTAGAAGGAATTTCGAAGCAGTAAATGGTTGTTGGTCAACTTACGTTTTTCGGCCGCGTTTTCGACTTTTTCGACAGATGGGGTCGGTCGAAGAGGAGGAGCCGAGGCAGGCTTTCTCTCGGTTTTGCGGCAACGGCAACGTCAAGAGCGGCTTTGTTCACAAGAGCAAGGATTTTTTTTTTTTTTTTTTTTATCATTACTATTTTTTTCCTTTTTTCGAGAGCGAGGAGCAAACGTCGGTCGGTCTTTTGATATATATATATATATACAAAGGACAATATTAGTAATTGTGTTACGGCGTGATTTTCATTCACATGTATCTCTCTCCCGCGCATTTCATGCGTAGATGAAACCAAGAGAACCACATAAAAGGGGGGCTTAGGTGGGTGGGGGTACGGGAACTCGTTGAAGGAGTTGTTTGTTGTTGCAGTTGTTGTTCGTAATCAATGAAAAAGTGACGCGTATGTTTTGTTTTACTCACAAAAGCATCGTTTATTTTTCTCTATATCTTTGTTTTTTTTTTTTTTTTTTT